AAAATCTAAATTAAAACTGCAAGCAAACAAAATCTCCAAGATGTATTACTTAAGCACAATGGGAAATTAAATTAAATTAGGAATAGCCCAATCAGTTAGTCAAAGCCATTAATTGGACTTTATAAATAAAGTTTGAACTCTATTGTAAGTTCCACTTCTTACCTGTCAGTCTTTCTCTATAATTATGATTTCATTATTTCTCTCATAAACAGTATAAAACTGGATTCTTTTCCTACTACAATTTTGAATTTCCTTTAACAGGTGAATTGAATTCATTTACATTGTTATCCCTGATTTATGACGATCTCTGATGCATACATTTCATTTATTGTTTTAACTTACCACATTTTTTGTTCTTTCTTTATTGTTCCTGCTCAGTCCTTAAAAATCTTATTTTGAATTTATGCATTCAATTTTTATGTGTGTAGTCGGTCTTATCTGTAAAGTCTAATGCAGGTAGTATTATTGTTCTTTCCTTGAACAAGATATGGAATTAGAAAATTGTAACTCAGTCACACCTAGTTTGGTAATTTACTAATGAGAGTTTGTGAGTAGTAAGCCCTCTTTTTTTTTTAATTGATTTCAGAGTGGAAGGGAGAGGGAGACAGAGATAGAAACATCAAGGATGAGAGAGAATCATTGATCAGTTGCCCCTACACGCCCCCTACTGTGGACCCAGCCTGCAACCCAGGCATGTGCCCTTGACCAAAATCGAACCTGGGACCTTTTAGTCCGCTGGCTGACACTCTATCCATTGAGCCAAACTGGCTAAGGCAAGCCCTCTTGATTGTTCGAAGATATTTTCAATTTCACTCCCTTGCATAGTAAATTGTGGTTATCCTCACTTTATCCTCCGTGGGTTTTAGCCTCCCTTTCATATAATCACTCACTTTATATTTCCCCCCTGTATTCTGAGAAGTTTCATGAGCTCTACATTTCATTTTACTAATTTTCTCTCTAACTTTTTCTAAAGCTTTCTCTAATTTGATCTGATTTTTAATCTATTGAGTTGTAACTTTTAATCATGTTTATAATTGTAGACTTTCCATTTGATTTCTTTCCTAAATCTGACTGCCCTTTTTACAATATCCTATTCTTCCATTTGTGCTTATATTCCTTTTAAAATACAGTTTTTGTTTTTATTTATTTTATAGTCTCATTCAGATTGCCCTAGGAATCCATGTTACGAGAGTTCTAACTCACCCATACATTATGTTGCTGACTCTCCTTTAAGCAGACTGTTCCCTTGGGTGACATGAAACTTTGTATTATAAGCTCATTTTCCAGATGGAGCTATTTTTATCATAGACCAATGCACTTGGGTTGTGGAAAGAACTCTAAAGAATGGCCTGCTCTGTGCCCAGCCGGTGTGGCTCAGTGGTTGAGTGTGACCAATGAACCAGGAGGTCACAGTTCGATTCCTGGTCAGGTCACATGCCCCGGTTGCAGGTTTGATCCCCAGTGCGGGGCATGCAGGAGGTAGCCGATCAATCAATGATTCTCTCTCATCATTGATGTTTCTATCTCCCTCTCCCTTCCACTACGAAATTATATATATATAATGGCTTGCTGTTTGCTTCTGCTGGTACCCCAGAAGTTTTACCAAATATGTAAATTACACATCTTTTATTTTTGGCCCCCTGTACTTAGACTCCATTCCAAAGCTGGGTGTAGGACTGTGGTTTTACTATAGGTTTTATTTATTTTTCTTTTCGCTGCCATGAATTTTCCTGTGGCTTCCCTAGGTTGGTGGGTAAATATTTTTTAGTTATTTTTCATGGAAGGAGCTGCCATTTATGAAACCCAGCTTTATGCAGGGTTCTTGCTTTCAACTCCTGGCCTCAGGCTCTTGCAAATTCAGGGCTTCTGCCTCTGTGCCAAAACTGAAACCCTCACTCCCAACCCCACATCCATGTCCAATGAGGATATATCTTTCATCCTACAGCCATGGTCAAGGCCCCTCTTGGTTATTCCCGGGTCTACTCAGAACATTACTTCTCTAGCTTTCAGTTCCTGCTTCATTTCTAGCACTTGAGGAATCCCCTGTCTTTCTCTTGAACTTGATTCATTCTCTCTCTCTCTCTCTCTCTCTCTCTCTCTCTCTCTCTCTCTCCCTCTCTCTCTCTCTCCCTCCATTTCTCTTACTCTCCCTTCCCTCCCTCTCTTCCTCCCTCCCTCCCTCCTCCCTCCCTCCCTCCCAACACACACACATATGCACATACACCATATGTATGTAAGTCTTTTAGGTTTTAATATGTTATCCAAGATTTCTACATATCTGAGTAAAAGGTGTTTGTAAGTTTATAATATGGGAGATAAATAAGAAAGCAATGTGTCTGAATACAACTGTTTTGAACAAATTAGTGAATAAGCATTGACAGTGATATTTTCCATATATTCTACATTGTATTGCTTTTGACTACCACTTTGGCTTTTAAAATATACTACACTATGTTACCTAGGTAACTCTGAACTCTACTGACATCCATGATGAATTCTGAATTTGCCCTACCCAGCAGCTTATCTATATTTGACAATTTCAAGTGAATTCAAAGGTTGTATTGCATACTTGGCTCCATGGTAAATAGGCTAGCTTTATTTTGAGATAATATTGCAATTCTGATGAAGAACTCTTTATTCATGCACTGAAGACACTAATTCTCCTAAAGTAAATAAACATTAAATGATAATTCCTAACCGGCAATTGCAACTTTCTGTCTGTCTTTTCTACTCCCATACTTTTTCTTAATACAGGCCTGTCCTTCTTAGAAGCTTAGTACTTTCACTATGAGAAAGCCTTTTGTTTTCCAAATGAAAGGCGAAGAGCAATAATAATTCTTTGCAAGAATTTGGCAACAATGTTATGTCAGAAACACCCAGTTTACTGGTAAACAGAAACTATTGCTTTCACTGTAAAATATTATAATTACACAGTGCAGCAATATCTCTGTGCTTTTTATCAGGGAGGAAATCAATAATATAGACTACAATTCTCTGTTGCACTAGAATAGACATAGAAGGCAGATGAAAAAGAGTTTATTGACTTAATGGAGGCTGTTACTATAGCAAAGCAAAACTGTAAAAGAAAATAGATTTTTAACTGATTTTAATCCAAACACCCAAATGTTTCAGTCTAATAAGAGATCTGATAAAAAAAATAAACAGAAACAAACAACAACCAAAAAACTCTCTTGTAGCTTCATTCCCTTTCCTTATTTACATACACACTTCATGCCATCATTATTGGCAAGTATCCAATCATAAGAAAAAATCCCATTAATGCTGGAAGAAATAAGCTAGGCGTTAAGGGAATGCTATGTCCTGAAAGTATTAATTAGAATATCTCATGTTTGTATCTGAAAAATGTCATAATTTAGAATGTGCCATTTTGTATAACTAATAAAAGGCCCAGTGTTCTGTCTTGCGGCTTTGTATTCCTTGTTAAATAGGTTGCTTTGGGAAATTTTAAATATGCACAGTGGAAGCAGCAGGCAATTAAATCACCCAGAGTTGAAATATAATATTGAGACAGGGAGAGAGGGAAGAAAGAAGAAGTGAGGGAGAGGGAGAGGGAGAGGGAGAGGGAGAGAGAGAGAGAGAGAGAGAGAGAGAGAGAGAGAGAGAACAACCTCAAATTTTGCTGTGTTTGATCACATGAATCAGTTTGTCAAATACTAAAGGAAGAATAATATATCATTAAAATGCTAAAAGAAGAACTCGTGTGACATATGTTTTTACTTTAATCCTCACTCAAACCATGCCTAGAGGAACAAACCCTGCATGTCTGGATAAATGGTTAGTAAAACAGCTGTGTTACTTTCATGCTGCATTTCGGGTACAAACTTAGTGAGATGCAGTCCCCAAATCATAACCAGAAGCTGTGCTTTTTACACTCAGCAGCAGCCCATTTTCAAAGAATGTAACCTACCGTGGACAGAGAAATAAAAGGCCTATTGGATTTTTATTCTGTGTCAGCAACATAATTACATATTTACTAGTATTTTAAGTAAGGTTTCTTTTTAAAAGGTCCCTGTGTGTATCGATTCTGGAAGGTAAACAGAATATCATAAAAATGGTAAGAATAAATTATTTTATTCGTAAAAACTTCTATACAGATATATTTGGTTGTTTTGATTCTGTAAGCCATTTGTAATGTATTCTAAGAAATGTCAACATTTGCCTTCCATTAGTTTAAGATATAAAGATATCACATTGTTTGATCTATTCCTCTGTATAGGTGTACATGCAGAACAAATCTTAGTATCTTAATTCATGGTCATGAAAGAGGTGGTAAATTTTGTATATCTAAAGGCTCCTTAATAAAGAGGTAAGACTTTGTAGGTATGGAAATCAAACAACCATCTCATTAAGAAAACCTAAGGAATGAAGCCATGAGAAATGGTGACAATTTAGCTTGAAGCACCCATTGTATTCGTACGCCAACCTTCTATGCCTATTTTAAAATTCATGTTTTATTAACATTGTTTCCTTTCAAAAAACATAATTTCTAACAAAACCCAGCATTTTCAAGGAGCTGTGAAGATGTTCCCATTAATTATGTGTAAATTGGTAAATCTACCTGCAGAAATGTTTCCTGTCATATATATATATGACATATCCAAGGGACCTTAGTTCAGGCACAGCCTTGGATTAGGAATAAATAGCTTGTGTGTTGGACGCCATGTGACGCTGTGAGGAGGTTAGGGTGCCCTTGGTGCACTCTCACAAACCTGAGTAGTGGTCCTGGGTCTGGAAAGAATGGCAGTCCCTGCATGGAAATGTGAGCAAGTCACACTCTGTCACTTGTCAACTGGGCACAGTTATTCCCTTTGGTTCCTGGGAGTCTACCTTTTTCAATTTGGGGAGATAACTAGTATATTGGTATATTATTGAAGTTTTTGATGTTGAAATAATTTTTCATTTCTAATATTTCCTGCCAATAATTCCAAGTGGTTAAATCTCACATCTCCCCGGTGTGTCCTTGGCTGACACAGACTTACTCTGCATGCAGAGCCCATCAGTGCAGTTCTTGGATTGCAAGACCAGACCATCGCAGTCCTTGCCTCCGTTCTTGGGGGCCGGCGCCGTGCACTCCCTCCTGCGCCAGTGCGTGCACTCTGTCCCACAAGTAGACCACTTGCTCCAGGAGGTCCACCTGCCATCCACTGCCACAGAGAAAACCCAGCGTCAGGTCAAAGGGACAGGAGCTTTGAGGGCAGAGGGGAGCTGAGCCCAAGAGTACAGCAAACAAACAAGCTGAAGAAAATGCCCCCGTGGAGTACTGGATCTCTCTCAGCTGCGGAAGTGGACCATGCTCTGCGCACACCTGCTGGGCTCTGTGAGCTCTCCTGTGAGCTGTGTGATTGCTTCCTCAGGGACACGCAAGGGAGGCTTAAAGGGACACACAGGACCAGAATTGTCACCAAAACTGTATAAAAGTAAGTCATGGTGGTGCCCCTTTCTCTATCAAATGGTAAACTTCTGGATTTTGTGTTGAAAATTAGGGGGCTTCTTTTTGGACCCCAAATTCCTTTATGCATAGTGTTATATGAGGAGTGCAGTTAACTTATGTGGGAGAAATGGTTGGTTGAGTGGGGAAGAAATCTATCTATGTACCCACTCTTCCATCCATTCATCTATCCATCCATTTATCATGCATCAATATCTATCTATCATCTATCTATCTATCTATCTATCTATCTATCTATCATCTATCTATCTATCTATCTATCTATCTATCATCTATCGATGTCCTTTATGCCTTTTTATTTTTTCATCTGGGCTAATTGATTCTCTTTAGATCTTCAATGCTTTCTTAAAAAGACAATTTTCCATTTATTATTTGATGATTCCAGTCCATTATTTTATGATATATACATTTCTATTTTTATTAAAAATATATGTAGTCATTTTTAATTTTCTGCCGCGATTCGGTAATTTAGAATTGACTCACTTTCTTCCTATTTTTGGTGGCTGCCTTGGCAGTAATTTCAATGATAATGATCTGAGATATCTCTATTTTTAAAAATAATTTCCATTCCTAAGTTTAAAAGTATGTAGTAAATTTATTGAACATCTAATATACATAGCATCTTATACCTGCATATTGATAGAAATTATATCAATTTTAATAGTTTATGATATGATTTTACATTCAAATTGTGTAAATATATTATGCATATGTATAGAAATATAAACATGCCCACATGAAAAAATGATGAAAGCATTAATACTTTAATGGTACAGAGCTGCCTATATAAACAGCTCCCAGCTATCTGAAGAAAAGGCATTTGCTTTGACCTAGAGCCTTAGATCCTAGACCATTCCAAATTACACACTCACACATTTCTATTTCACTCAAAAAGCTCAGTGCATTTTTAACTGTGGGAGTCAACATGTAGGTAAAATATTTAAGAGTACAAGATAGAATCCTGAAATTGTAAACCTAGCTGGGTGTCAAAATTTGTTCCATAAATAAAAGCTCTCAAAGGGTAGGTTACTATTTTGATATTTGGAAATCAACACAGGAATATAAAATATAGATTATGTTTTTATTTCAGTTCACTTCTTCAGCCCATCTCTCAGAAAGTTTGTACTAAAGGATAAACCAAACAAAAACCAGGCAAAATAAAGGGGAGTAAAAAAGACTGTGTATCGAAACAATGAAATTGACAATATAATAGCTACCTCGATGGAGTGCACTAAATTTATGGATTATTTCAAAATAACTCTAGCTAAACTTTTCAACTTATTGATTAGAGCTTAGGGAGTTTTGGTTGTAGTGGGTGTTAGCTTCAGTTACCTGGGGATAAGAGCAGGTGACAATATAAAATAGCACAGAGAGATGCTCAGAGGCACCGGATGCAATCTGGGCATAGGTACTACTGCACGTAACTCACAAAACAGGTGGCCAACCTGTACAGATAATAAAGTGCTGACTGTGTTGTATTTTCAAAATCCATTAGCTCATGTGTCACAACGCTTAGACTTCCTTTTCATTCAGTCCAAATGTTTTATTTGCTCTTGCCCAGAAACTGACACCAAATATCAAATATTTCCATCTAAACATTATCTGGGTTTTAGTTCCAATTAGTTCCCATGGCTTTCTGGAGATCAAGGGTTTTTTTTTTTTCTTTCTAAAATGTGTGGCTTTCAGTGGTGCTCAAATCTCTTGAATTACAGAACCTGCAATCTTGGCTCCAGCAGTTTTGTTTAGTAATAGAGAGGGATTCTGTTGACTCGTGCTCAATCTCCTGTTTTATATGATTTTTCATGGCTCGGTAATAAAGTTAAGTACTCTTTTGGGGGAAAATATTTGATTTCCCAGCAATGTAAGCATCGAATGGGATGATGCATTTAAATAATGTTTATCGCACATGCAGGTCAAGGAGAAGGCTTTGTGTAGACGCCTTAAATGCATCTTTGGAATGGGAGGAGACCGTTGAAACGAGAGCGCTAGTTTATTTACCTGGGCACAACGTGGTACAGGCTATTTTCTGCACGCTCTGCCCTTCGCAGAAGGCACCACCGTTGAGGGGTGCTGGGTTGGTGCAGGTCCTCGTGCGCTTCTGAAACCCCCGTCCACAGCGGCTATTACACACAGACCACTCTGTCCAGGTGGACCAGCCACCGTTTACTGGGAGGAGGTAAATAATAACATGTGGATTACATGTTTGTGCACGCACACCCAGACGCACAAACCACACACAACACATCAACACAAAGTTATTCCCCAAGGGATTATAAAAAAATCTAAAATTCAAAGCTAGAAGAGACCATGGACTTCATATCATTCAAAGTTTTATCACAGAGCTGAAGAATCTAAGCACGGAGATTAAAAAACAAAAACAAAAATGAATTACCAATGTTTACTCACCTACCCAGAAAAGCATATAGGATTGTGTTCTCTTTTCCTTGGCCATTGTTCTTTTTAAAACAAAATACATCCCCTTACCTAGTCAAGCTCCAAAAATTACTTTTGACAGCTTATCTCAAATAATAAATGTTCACACCCTTATGCCAAGGCTGTAAGTGGATCTAAAACATGGGAGCTGAATAAGATCATTCCGTCTTGTCTTAATACCAGATGATTGATTGCTTTTCTTTAGCATATATAAACTGTGCAACCTTTTAAGGATTTTTCGTCAGTTTTATTAAGTAACCACTGAACCTGGTCAAAAAAAATAAAATCTTATATTGCTGGGTTTTTCACTAATGAGTAGCCATTTGACTGAATTGGCAATTAGTTGATGTAATTGAAATGAACACCTATTTTGTATATGAGAGCTAATTATGGTGTTTGATGGCGATGTCACCATAGATGAGATTGTGAAGCCTACGCTCTTACACTCTGCTCATTATTTACCTCGAAGATCTTATTCTGGAAAACACTCCTCACTATGAATGCCTTGATGGAGCATGTAAAGCAAGTTCCAGGAAGTTCAAGTTGCTCTGATGTGTAGGGGGACATGTCAGTGCCAGTTTACCTGGGGTTTTGCAATCACTGGACTGAGCCAAGGTTCACAGAAGAGGCAACAGACTGCTTTAAGCATCTTCTCTCCAAATTTGCTCTGTATCCCGGTGGCCCAGGGCAGGGAGATAGGAGGGCTCAGGAAAGCAGCTGGCACGTAGGCAGATTTCCTTCATTTTCTTATTAACTGACTGACAAAGGACTAGGAATTTCCAAGGCCAGTCTTCCCATGGGCATCAGGGAAGCAGTGAAACCTCACTGTCCACGTGAGCAGCAGGAAGAGACCAGCCATGAGGATTGCCAAGGGGCCGCTCATCTGATGTTTTAAAATCAAAATGACACCTGCACTTCGACATGAACTAGATTGAGACCCCAAAAGCTCACTCACCATAGACGATGACAGTCGCCGTTGTGCTTTTCCTCTTGGCAACAATGTTTTTGGCGACACATGTATAGTTTGCGGTATCTGAGAGGCGGGCCTGCTTGATGATGAGGTTGTGATCAATAGTAATATAAAAATTCCGGTCTTCAACTGGGTCAATGATGTCTTCATTTTTCAACCATTCCACCTAAAGAGGCACAAGAGAAATAGATAATGTCCCCGTATGTATCCCTGGACGGCTGCCTGTCCTAACTTGGGTTTTGCAACATGTATAATATTGCTCCGAGCTCTGAACTTCTGCAAACGGGGAGGAAGTAACTTTGGGAGGTCATGTGAAGTACCGCTCACCTGCCAGGCATGCTGATTCTGTCTGTGCTGCGGTATTCTCAAATGTCAATGAACCCACGGGGAAATGCAGTGTTCAAATTGTTTTCACTTTGCCCTGCAGGCAGGAACAGGGAAGGTGCCTCTGCCAAGTTCCGAACCCAATCAAAGGTAATAGGCTACGCGTTTCCAACTGAACTCACACCTTTTGCTATTTGATTTGTTTACTTGCGGCCACCAACCTGCAGCTTTTCGGGGGGAGAGTGTAAGAACGACGTGGAAAGCTCGAGAGCAGCTTCCACTAATAAAAGAACATTTGGATGATTTCCGCGTAGCCCTTGCTGAAACATATGGACTAGATTTCCCTGAAAATGCATTCACTGTAAACACATATTTGGAGATGCATCTGAGCCAAAATAGTTGGGGGGGGGGGTAGATTTTCTACCAACTCTCAATATAATTCAAATAGCAGGGAAGTCATACCCAAATCTCTCCCTTTGTGTATCACTAGCAGCAAATCTTTGGCTTAAGGTTTGCTTCTGGGGAAACCTGATGGCAGACACGACTGTCCAAAACTAGTAAACTGATCATTTTCTATGCAATTAATACCAACTGAGCAACAGGGATGTTATCCCTGCAGAATGAAAAGAGGGAGATGCATGTGTATAAGCGGTCCTATGAGGGAGAAACCATTTCTTGTCCTGTAAATTGCTTCTTTTTCCCACCCCCCTCCCTCATGCACAGGTTTTTCCATAAAGGAAAACAACATTGATATTTACCACATTTCAACTTTCCTTTAGCATTAGTGGGCACGTGAATGCAGGTAACCTTCAGGGGTAGGGAGTCAACAGTGTTGCCATTTTCAAAATCTTAAGCAGCTTCTCTAGCACCACAGGCGGTCTGGAAATTAATCTCTCAGTCTGTCAGTGGGCTTGACAATGCAAAGCTCTAAATTAAATCTAACCCCAGGACTCTAAAATAATGCTCCTCTAATCCATAGAAGAGAGGCCACAATTTAAAGAGAAAAACAAAAACCAACAACAATCCTGAAAAAAAAGTGAGAAAGTAGATAAGAGCAACTATTTGTAATAATGTACATTTTGAAATAGGTAACTGTTCTTGGTATTGACAGTAATGGATGTGAGAATGAGAACAGAACCCATTAAAACAGTGGAGTTTTAAAACATGCCTTTTGTCCTCACATACAGACTGCACGTTCAGTCAGGGCCATCCTTGGAGATGCGTATTTGATCAGATGCTCATACTCACTTGACCTGGATTTCCTCACCTTTGGCCTGTGTGTGTGGTAATGTGATCCTGCTAGAAGTGCAAGGGGAAGGTAGCAAAAGTCACAGTGTCAGAAATCGACTTGACAGTCATTGAAAGCTGACATGGACATCTTAATCTAATTACCTAGCTTATCTATGCATTTTAAAGAAAGCTTTCCACTTAGAGAAGCCACGGTGGGGTTCCCGGAGCTGGTCTTGGATCCGGGTCTTGGGACCCTTCTACTTATGTGTGTGTCTGTGTCTGTCTGTACTCTGTGTGCTTTTCTTTCAAGGACCTATACCTGCGACTGTGTTCTAAAGAGCAGCCATCAGGCTCCTGGGCTCTTTGCCTGGAAGTGCCTAGGGGTTTCCCGCTCCCCCACTCCACCCTCCCCAATTTCCCCCTCCACAATGTCTTACAGAGTGTGGAAAAAGCCTTAGGAAATTGGCTAATCCCGGTTGGAATCTGAGCTGTTACTCTCCAGAGTTCTCCTTGCAGGGTTACGCTGAAACTATCTCCTTGAGCCTTCACCTGAATGCATTTTTTTCTGGTATTCTCCTTTTCTCTCCTGCTTACTCCACCTCTGTGTCTCTCCTGGAAGTGCACCCATAAAAACCACTTGCATTCAGCCCTAGCTGGCTTGGCTCAGTGGATAGAGTGACAGCCTGTGGACTGAAGGGTCCCAGGTTCGATTCCAGCCAAGGGCACATGCTGAGTTATGGCTCGATTCCCATTGGGGGGTGTGCAGGAGGCAGCCAATCAATGATAATCTCTCATCATTGATGTTTCTATCTCTCCTCCTTCTCTCTTCCTCTCTGAAGTCAATAAAGAAATATTTTTTAAAAACTTAAAAATTAAAAAAACAAACAAACAAAACCACTTTCATTCAAACCTTTGCCTCATGATTTGCTTCTGGAGAACCTGCCCTAAGTCTCGACTATTCAAAACCATGGTTTCTTCTATGCGCATAATATCCGTTAACAACAGTATCATTATCCTGGTCAGAAACGACATCAAGAATCCCAAGGGATATTGCGAACCACTTTGTATTTGAAGAGTTTATTACATGGAGGAAAGAGCGCAATTGGAATAGTTGACAAGAGATTTAAAAAGACGTACATGATTATTGGGTATATGGCCTTTACTTTCTTATACAGTATATGGCTGCCTTTTCCTTTCTTACCAACCTTGGAGAGGGGATTATGGCCTGAGCCCTGAGGACCCCTGAGGAGCCCCAGTATTGCTGGGGGGCACTGCCCTCCTCCCTGAACTCTGACTTTGACCAGAGAAGCTCCTCTTTGATCTGTTTTCCACACTGGCTGATTTGTATGCCTTTGTCTGAAGAAACATAGGGTTGTACTGCTAGAAAATGCCTGTAGAAATGAAGAGGGAGCCCAGGACTTCTCCAGCTCTAATAAGACCCTCCCTCTCTGTTCTGCACATCGCAATACTCAAAATGCAAATCATAATATCACCAGGGGATTTATATGCACATTAAAGTGTGAGCAGAAGTGGCCTAGCTCTTGTCTTTACCACTAATTGCAAACCTTCCTAAACTCAGTTCCAATGGAACTCTCATCACCATTTTCTGTCTTTCCTGCTTCTTCTCTCTAGGACTCCTATTTTAACAAACATGCACCAGGACCCACAAGCTATTGAACTTACCAACTTTATCTCTCACCCTCTCATGGTCCCTATTCCTTTTTGTCAGGTGTAAATTTCTGACTTTTCCTACAATCCCTTGAATTATACCCTTAAGTCTCTCATTCCTTTTTCACTTGCTCACTCTTCCCTACACCACTGTGTATCCTGGCAGTGGAAAATGGCTGTGGGCGTATCTTAAAGTCCTGATAACAGAACTCAAGTAGGCCCTTAATTCAGCCAAAAATAATCACACTCTGTTTCCATTTTCTGTTCACCGTCCTGCACTCCTAGACAGCTATTTCACACCTTCTCCTCTCACCTTAAACACTGCTTCCCCCTCGATCATCACTTCCAGCTGATGACCAAGTTTCCACACGGCTGAGAACACTGACAATCACATCTTCCGAAGCTCCCGCCATCTGCCTGCCCACCTCGATTCTGCACCGTCTGTCTTGTTCCTGGGTCAGCTCTCTGTGCTCCTGTCACCTCCCATGTGTACTCTGCATCCCACTGCCTTCTCTTGTTCAAGGGGGAGCCCAGCAATTCTCTTCTCTCTCTTTCTTAAATCACTCATTTCCCCTCTCCACTGAATCATTTCCATTAGCATTCAGACGTGCAGTTATTTTCACAATGCAAAACAGAGTCGCTCCCACTCATTTCTGCCTCTATTGCCCCCGCATTTTTCTGCTCACCTCACAAAATGCCTTGGAAGAGTTGTTTGTATTCACTCTCTCCAATTCCTTTCCTCTTCACTGCTACTACGCCTACTCTAATCCTCCTCCACCATTTCACAGAGCTACTCTTTTCAAAGGCATCGATTACTTTCACTGCGTTAGACGTGCTGGTGAGGGCTCCCTGCTCTCCTGACTTGGCTCAGCAGCAGCATTTGACCTGGTTGGTCCGTCTCCTCACTTGCTTTCTCTGGACATGGCACTTTCCCGGTGTTTGTCCTACCTCATCCCATCCCCCATGGCTTTCTTGGGCTGAGGACTGTTCCCTGAGTGGACTCCATCCTTGGAGTCCTTGCACTAGAACTTGGACCTCTTTTTTTTCTATTTTCTATTCATATTCACTTCCTTGATGAACTCATCCAGTTCCATGTAGATGACTTCTAAATTTATCTCTAGTCCAGTTTTTTTTTTATAAGTAGAAAGAGTAGACTCTAAAATAATGATAAAAACTATGGTATAGTAAGTACAAAAACCAGTAACAATTGTTTATTATCATTATCAAGCCTTACGTGCTGTACAGAATTGTATGTGCTATACTTTTATACAATGGGCAGCCGCAGTGGGTTTGTTTACACCAGCATCATCACAAACACCTGAGTAATGCATTGCACTAGAACAGTATGATGGCTAGGGTGTCATTAGATGATAGGAATTATAATCTTCTGGGGTCCATATGTGGGGTCCATGGTTGACCTACATGTGGTGATGTGGCCCTTGACTGTACTCCCTCCCTGTCTCTCTTCTCTTTAGTATGTCAGCTCCTTTGGTGGCCCTAATGTACATCAGGGGGTGCTCTGCCTTGGTGGTTCGAGTCTGCTGGTGTGCGTGCCTGGAATAATCATAACCCAGGTATCTACACGATTTGCTCCCTTCCCTCCTTCCGGTCTTTATTCAGATGTCACCTCAACAAGTCACTTCCTGATCAACCTTTAAAACAGCAACATCTCCCTCTGCCTATGTCCCCAATTTCTCCCCCTCTTTTCCTTAATTTCTCCATAGCACTTCTCATTCACCTTCTCGTATAGTCTATATTTTATTTATGTTTTTTATTATTGTCTCTTCCAGCAGAATTTAAGCTCCACGAATGTTAGTCTGTGTTTTTTATCCTCATCTGAGGATATGTTTAGAAAAAGGAAGTGGGGGAGGGAGGGAGAGAGAGAGATTAAAGAGAAGAGAAGTGAAAGAAACATTGATCAGTTGCCTCCTGTATGTGCCCTGA